TTGTTGCTTTCTGTATGTAAAGTTTAAATAATTTTACTGTAAATAAAGTGATAAAGTTTTCCTATATTAAAAAAAAAAAATAATAATAAATAAAGAAAATAATAATAATATAGATGATAATATTATTGATATTGAAAAATTAAATAATAATAATATATTTAATAATATTAGTTCAAATGAAATTAATTCTAATGATGAATTAATATTAGTTATTAATAATTTTTTTTATCAACAAATGAAGATTTAACATTACTTAATTTAAGAAAACTTTCTGTTGATTTTTCAGAAGATATAAATCAAAACAATAGTAAAAATTTAATTAATTCTTCTAACAAAAGAAAAAGAAACTCATATCATACAAATCCAATTAAAAAAAGATAACATAATTTAATATTACATAATTTATATATTAAATTTTTACATAAAATAAAAATCTTTTTATTGATAAAATTATTTCTATTTTTAATATTAATTTATAAAATTTTAAATTTTTATTACTCATATTATATTTAAGTGATGTAAGTTCCGTAAAACATTAATACAGTTCGTGGCGATTTTGTGATTTTCGCGACTTTTTGACTACGTGACGATCAGTAATGAAGTCACATGTCTATATTCCTCATGATCCGTGTCGATAAGGTAAGGGGAACAGCCACCCTCACTTATTTTTAGTAATAAATCTCTGCTGTGTTATCATCTTTTCTAAATACAAACCGTTTAAACACGATAATTATTTCATAATGCCATTATTACCGCCAATAAACTTTCCAAAATGGCTTGAGGAGAATTCAGATAAATTACAACCTCCAGTGAACAATTTTCTGTTACAAAGAGGGGATTTCATTGTTATGGTAGTGGGGGGTCCTAATGCACGTACTGACTATCATGTTAACCAAACGGAGGTTTGATATATATGTTTTTTTCTGCTATAGCTTCGCTTATAATTTTACGCCAGTCACTTGTGCTTAGAATCTTCGAAAACCCTCAGGAATGGTTCTATCAGTATAAAGGAGATATGATCCTTAAGGTGGTTGATAATGGAGAATTTAAAGATATTACGCTAAAAGAAGGAGACATGTTCTTGTTACCTGGTGAGAAATTAACCATAGTTAAATAACATTATGATTATATAACATTAAATTACAATTTTATATTAATATTAAGGAAACACGCCACACAATCCAGTTCGATTCGCTAATACTATTGGAATTGTGATGGAAAGAAATCGCAGACCCGAAGAAATTGGTAAGCAATCAGACTTTATCTTTTACTATGCATCTAAAATGAATCAATTTTAAATCGGTTAAATTTTCCTATGCCAGATCGTCTCAGGTGGTATTGTGAAAATTGCAAAGGAATAGTGTATGAAGAATCATTTTATTGTTATGATCTTGGTACTCAATTAAAACCTATCATTCAAAAATATGCAGCCGAAAATAATTTAAGAACATGCAAATCTTGCGGTCATGTAAATACTGCCAAATAATTTAATGGAGTTCCCAAATATAGGGATTTTACTAGTCGATAATTAACATTACAATAAATTCTATGTAAATACTTGTTTTTATACCAACTTGTCAAATTTATTATGACATTTTTACAAATAAATTTATAATATTATCTTATCAAAATTAATTAAATATGAAAATTTTAATATTTTTTAAATCTATAGTTTAAATTAAGAATATTTTTAAATTATATCTAATATAAATTAACCAATTCCAATAAAATAATTTCAAAGAATTATATATCATATATATTTTAATTTATAGCTGATATTATATATTTATTTAAAAATATTGAATCATTACAAATAGAAGAAAGATCCTTTATATATTTAAGTATATTTTTGTAATATTCAAACTTTTTGATTCCAAAAATTTGATATTTTTAATGTTTAATCAATATTTAATTTTATCAATTAACATATACGTATATAGTATATAGATATATCTCTATATACCAAGGCAGGTATCAAAACTATACATGTAATTTGTTATTGATCTTTACCATATATGGTAGCATGATTTCCAATTAATTTACTATTTTTTTTTATAGTAATACAGTTTTTGAAAAATATCTGAATTCAATTTTACCATATGTATAATCAAAACTTTTATTTTAAAACAATTTTATATTTAAATTAAAAACTTAATATAGAAATATAATATAAATAACAAAAAAACTTTTTTCCATTTACACTACTTTTCCTAAAAAAATTTCTTATAAGAAAATTTTTGAAAAAGGTTAGCCAGAAGTTGAATTTTTCTTACAACAATATTTGTAGAGATAAGTTTTTCCTACAGATCAGTCTTTAAATATTCTGGGCCAGCAGATCAGCTTGTATCAATACAAAAACTCTTCTCAAAATAGATGGGAAGAGTCTCTTCTGTATGTTTTAGCAACTTTAAATGACAAGTCCTTGCTTCTACAATAGTAGCTAACTCTTTTAAAAAGAAAAGAAAATGACATCCCAAAAAAGGGAGATAACAAGAAGACAAGAAACTAGACAAGCCAGTAGAGAAACAATCTGCATCCAAATAACCTCTACTCTCCAAGGCATGTAAGTACACTGTTTGTGAAGAAGACTTTACTAGTCACAACACACAGAAAAAACACTTCAATACAACTCACAAACTAGGATTTATGAAAGTTGAGACACCATGCAAAAAGTGAAAAGAAAAGCAACCATTCTTGACAATTCTATATTTGTTATACAGGCTTTAGAAATCAAAAAAACATTGAGAAAACATATTCTTGCGAATTATAAGAACATTGACAAATTGGAAGTCAAGAGATTAATAGTAGCATCTGAAAATAAATTTGACAACTATCAAATCAATTTCAGAAATCGCAATAACTTTGTGAATATTAACAACTATTTACTAATTAATGGCTTATTTGATTTAAGTGGATATGGATATATAATAACAATCAAATCCTCCACTGGGCTAGTCAATAATTTTCTAAGAGACAGGTTAAACTCATCATTAGGTAATAACAAGTTTTATAAAAAATACAACACCATTCTGAAAAAAAATAATAACAACTTTTAATTTTTCTATTTTTGATAAGAACAGTTTATTATAACTATAGTAAGGCTATAAATGGAAAAACCTAAACTAAAAGAGTAAAATAATAAACCAGTAGAATACTGAAGGACATATATCTATTTTTCTGTGACAAATCATTGAAGAACCTTGATGGGAAAAGTAATTTACAGATCACACTGAAGTCTTTAAAATCTATAAGACAAATTAGAGTATATATAATGGTTCAATAAGCTAGATTACTCTCTAAAAATATTCTAGTGAAAATTAAAAGAGTATTGCATATTCTTCCTAATTAGATTTGTAATATAGTTTTTTTACAATTGTAATTATTTTATAATAGTTGAAATTCTACTTATTATATTATAAACTATTAGTAATACCTCTGTTTGACTAGGTAGTATAAGAGTAGTCTTGTACATATATGACAAATTTGTAAAAGTTTGTATCATATGACATATGCATATAAACTAATAAAGAGTATGAACAAAATTAGAACTACATATTTGCAGATACTAAAAGAAGAAATAGCAAACAAAATAGAAACACAAGAATAAAGAATGAATTGGAGAAAACAACTCAAATTCATTATTAACAACTTGGAAAAAACCATCAGGTATATAATCAAGAGAATTTATGAAAAGAATCTTACTAAGCTGGTGAAACAAATTAATAAGAGAAAAATTAAAGATACATTAAGAACAGTCACAAACAGAATGAAAGGGGAACTCTGAAAACTCCAGATCCACAGATGCAAAAGATTCTAGCAATAGAAAAAAACATAAGCAGAAAGAAAAAAAGAAGAAAAAAATAAAGATTTTAAGCTAATACTCAAGCTACATATATGTAACAATACAAATGGTGAAAGGAGTGCCACAATATATGTCACACAAGTGGCACAGACAAGCCAATAGAAGGAGC